GCCCCATAAGTCGGGTAACTATATATAATTTACCATCCAAATTGTGACATTAGAATGAGAGGTGGAGGGGTTATTAATAATTACACTAGGCCAATAGATAGAAACTGTGATTGTCCTGGGAAAACTGGGACATGTGATCATCTGACTTATGCACTATTATAAAGACTGGCTTTTAAAAAATCTGACTGAGATGGAAAGCTATTGGAAGGTTTTGAGCAGAAGTGACATGATCTCGTTTAGATAACTCAGACTGCTATGCTGAGAATAGACTGAAGGAGGGCAGGAGCAGAATTAAAGAGGAGGGACCAGTTAGGAAGCTAACAGAATCCAGTCAAGAAATTAAATTCTAGGTATGGTGAAATTATGGCCAAAGACTTTATTGACATATTGGATATGGGATATGAGAGAAAGAGCAATCGGAAAAATGGAGTTGCCACTGACTGAGACAGGGAAGACTTCAGGAAGAGCAGATTTGGAGAGGAATCAAGAGCACATACTAAATTTGGACATGTTAGGTTTGAGATACTCATTAGATTTCCAAGTGAGGATATTGAGTAGGCAGTTGGTGTGTGAGCCTGGAGTTAAGCTCTCTATGTATTTGGTAGTTGTTAATGTACAGATGGTATTTAAAATCATGTGATTGGATTTTTCAAAAAAGGAAGAGGATCAAAGACTAAGTTCTGGACGTTCCAATGGTAAGCAGTAGAGGAGATGAGGAAGAACCAGCAAAGGAGACTGTGAAGGAGCAACCAAAAAAGTAAGAGGAAAACCAAGCAAATGTGGTGTCCTGGAAAGCATTTCAAAGAAAGAGAACTCAGTTTATCTGATGCCTTGAGAAGGCAGGTAAGATGAGGACTATGAATTGACCATTGAATCAAAAAACATGCAGATCATTGGGGACCTTGATAAAAGCTGTTCTGGTGCAGAGGTGGGGACTAAAGCTTAATTGCAGTGGATTCGAGAGAAAACTGGAAGCAGCAAGTATAGAGCCATCTTTTGAGGAGTTTTGCTATAAAGGGACAAGGTGAAATGGGGCAGTAGTCAAAGGCAGAAGTGGGGTCAAGAGAGAGCCTTTTCATCATTGTAAAAATAACAGCATGTTTGCATGGTGAATGAGAAAGATTCGGTAGAAAAGGAAAAGACTGATGATGGGGGAGAGAGTTAGGAGAATTGCTGGAGCAATGTCCTTGAGTAGGTAAGGGGGCAGGGGCACCAAGTGCATAAGGACAGAGAGAGCTTGAGATAGAGAGAGAGAGAGAGAGGACAGAGAGAGCTTGAGAGAGAGAGAGAGAGAAAGAGACAGAGAGAGAGGACAAAGCCTGTGCTAGGAGCAGAGACAGTTTATCTCAAGTAACAGGAGAAAAGACAGATTGTGTGGGTACAGATGCAGTTAGGTTGGTGGATTACAGTGGTTAGAATCTGTGGAAGTTCTTTCCCATTACTTCTATTTCTAGGTGAGATAGGAAGCAAAGACACAGCTGAGGGTGAGCACGGGGAGGAGATGTTGGAGTTCTGAAGAGAAAGGTCACTGAGGATAGAGAATGGAGCAGGGCAATGGAGCATGACTGTCAGTCAGCAACAAGGCTCTTCTTGAAATGGCTGATGATTAATTTAAAGTGAGACCAGTCAGCATATTTGCATATTTTTTTCCAGCTACATTTAGCTGTGCAGGTGAAGTTGGTTGAGGGTTGGATTTAACCAGCATTGTAGTTTGCCCCAAAGAGTAAGGCAGATTAAGAAAGGGGCAATGAAGTTGATTATAATAATTAACTATGGAATTTAGTGAGATGAGAGAGAGAAAACATCTAAGCCTGCCAGGCATTGGCTAAATATATGCATTATCTCATGTAATCCCCACAACCACCCCATGGAACTACTATTAGCCTCTTTTTACAAATTAAGAAGCTGAGGTTTAGGATAACTATAACTTGCTCAAGGCCACATAGCTGATAAGTGACAGCCAGCATCAAGCCCAGGAACACTGGTCTCCAAAGGCTGTGCACTTAACCTTCTTGCTATCTGCTTTAACTTGAGTATTAGTGGTACTTTTAAAATCGATGCATAAATAGAAAGGACAACAACTGTCCAATTTATTTTTGTTAATATTTTTCCAACTTGTGTTAATTTTAAGATTTTTGATGTACAGGACTTTTTGAAAATTTAGAGCAAAATCTATTTATTTTTACCTTTAATTTAATTCCCTATCTATTCTTAGATTTCATTTATTTGTTTAATTTTTTGTTTTGACTCTCTAATCCATTAAGAATTAATCTGATGTTTTATGGTGATGCTATATTTTTTTCAGTTTTTTCAATTTTTACCAGTTTTCCAGCTTATCAATTGTCCCAGCACTAGTTTTGAATAATTTATCATTTTCTTGATAATTTGCAATATATCTTTATCATATGTTACAATTTTATAAACATTTAGGTCTATTTTTGGGCTACCTGTCCCATTTCACTGATTTATCTTTCTCTGTTTTTTTAGATCTGTGAGGGAATATTTCACCTTACCACTCTTTTTTTTCCCAAAAACTTTGTAGACAGTCTTATTGTTTCAAATGCCCTTTAGAATTCTTTTTTAAGTTCCTAAACTATTTTATTGAAATATTAATTTTAATTATGTTACAGTAGTAAATTAATTTGGTAAGAATGGCAGGTTCACAGTGTTCATTCTACCCATTCAGGAACATGGCATGTCTCCATTTAAGTCTTAAATGGAATAATTTCTTCACTTAGATTTTATACATTTATTAAGATTATTTCTAGGTATTTTATGACTGTTATGAATGGATCCTGTTTTTTTCCAGTATATTTTCTAGGTGGTTATTTCTAGTACATAAAAATTTGCTGATTTATGGACACTTCTTATATACCTCCACATAAACTGAACCTTTTAAATGAAAGAATTTTCAGTTAATTCTCTTGGATTTTAAAAATAAATAAAAAATATTATATGCTCCTCATAATATTGATAATTTTGTCTATTTTCTAAGGTTTTACTTCTTATTTATATTTTGTACTATGACTATAGTTACTAAAATGTACCCCAAAATGTTGAAAATAAAAGGTGCTAAATCATGTATCCATATAATTTCTGTTAATGGGATGCCTCTAGTGTTTCATTCTAACATGCAGTGTAATATTGGCTGTCAGTCTGAGATTGCTCCAGAAGCTGCCTTGTAGAACTAACTTTAAAAGTCGTTTTTAAAAATCAGGAATATATCTTGAATTTAATAAAATACTATTTTGACATGTATTGATCTACTTTGTCTTTGAACTACCAAAGAGATAATCATTTGTGTACTTATTGCCTCTTTATAAACAGATTTTTAAAAAAGTCATCTCTTACTACCACAAAATATAAAGCACCTGTACAAACAGTAATAAAAGTTAATTATCAATCCCTACTTTTTATATTTAGAAAAAGCTTTAAGAGCATTTAATATTTAGGTATTTAAAAATTCAGATGTCTATGTATCAAACATAACATTTTCACCAAGCTAGAGTTACAAAGTATTTTAATTAAAATGAATATTTATCAAATGCCTGTTACATGAAAGAAAGCACTATACTAAGCAGCACTATGCAGGATAGAAAGATAAGCAAGAGAAAGTCCCTAGCAACAAGACAGGAGCCCAAGTGAATGAGGGTAACAAGTACACGAGAGCACAGAGGAGTGAACAGTCACTGTTGGTGGGAAGGAAGTTCAAGGAGAGCTTTTAGGGAAGCAGCATGACCCACTCGCTGAGAGACAGGCAGCCCAGTGCCCTGTGGGGTAGGTGGAAGGGTGATCCACACAGGCTTCGTCAATGGGGGAGAAAAAAGCGCTGGGTGGATGCAGCTGCACACCTGCATTCCCAATGACAAAGCATAAACTATTCTAAGATATTCTAGTGGATTTTAAAGTAACAATCAAAAAGTAGGATCAGTGTGTCAGTGCTTCAGATATAAAACATGTGTAAGAAATATGGCAATATAGAGAAAAATTTCTGAGTTAATCAGAAAAGTTAAAGATAAGGATCTTGAAATAATAAGGACAGTTGATCAAGATGTTATATCAAAGGTTCCTTTGAAAAATATTTAGATAGTGAAAATTTGCATTGGGGGATAGTTAGTTTTAGGAGATGATGCCACCAAGCAGCATCAAAAACCAGTGGCTGCCTATTCCTACAAGTGCACCATGGCACTGGATATGTTAAAGGGTCAGTAGCTTGTCACCGTGCTGCTCTCAGAGAAGCCACTTTCAATGAAAGCATGTGCCCGGAGTCTCCAGGACTCACTTCTTGCTTTGTTAACATCTCAGCATGCCTAAACCATGGTGAGACACAGAGCTGACATTTATTTTCTGAGCTTATGGTAACACGTTATCCTGTTAGCGGCTTTTATCTTTTACGCTGCTCATTCGTGGAACTGAGGTTCTGCTATTGCTGACTGGTTGGAGAGAATACAGCTGCATACCGTGCTTAGGAAGGTATGTATTGATGGAAAGAACTGTTTTAAAAGCTCTCCAGATTGTTGGCGTGGACAGCCTTCTTCCTGGGTGCTGACCCTTCTAGGCTGTGGGGCATAGAGACCATCTCTACCAATCTAACTGGTTTGTGCAGTTTTCCTGAGTCTCTGTTTACCAGTGAAATAAACAGTCTTAGGAAACAGAAGGCTTAGTCACATGCTCAAAGAGAGCACAACAAATGTGCACCATTCAATAGGCTGTGAGCTGTAGCTGTTGAAATTATAGCTAGGAACCGCCTTGGTTCCCCTCTTAAAGGCCAATAGGCCATGAGCCAGGCTACTTGATCTCTTGCTGCATTTCACTTGTGAAACACTATTAATATCTGCCATCAATTCCTCTCAAACGAGCGTATAACATTTTCTGGATAGGAATACTGCATATAATCATTTGGTTACAGCGGCATATGAGTTCACTTCAAAAACTACTACAATTTTTAATGTGCTGTTTCAGTTATACACACACACACAGTTGTCACCTGATAATTGTGTTAATACAATGACATTCTTTTTCTTTGTATAATATTTATATGTTTGGAAATAAGTGTTAATCTTCATATGGATTTACCAATCTTTGACCAACACATTTTCAAAAAATCTTACAAACCCATTTCATCGAATTAATTAGCAAGGAGAACCCTCTAGAAATGGTTTGTTTTGAGAAATAAGGAGATTATCTGAAGAGCGGTCCAGAGTTTGCTCTATGACAAGCATTTCTCAACAGCAAGGTCTGTTTTAGTGTTAATCATTATAGTCAGTCCATTTCATCAGGAAAAGCTTTGGTTTCTTCACAGAGTCTTATGTATCTGTTTTTCAGTTACCCAAATGGGGTAGAAATTTTATCAGAATGAAGTTATTAGAACTTTGGGATTTTCTTCTTTGTCCACGGAATCTTTTGTTTTTTTCCCAGATCTGAACCTGAAAATAAGATAGGTGCTAAAGAAAATTAAATATTCAAGATTCTCTTCCTCAAAATGCCAAACTGACACTGAAAAACATTTCTCCAGTTAATGAACAAATAATTATTTTAACTCTAATAAGAACCTCATGAGTCTAGAACTAGTATTTTATGATTTTGAATATTTGGAGCCATTTTCTTAATTAAATGTAAACAAAACCCAGAATTTACACTCTTTTACAGTTTCCCTGAGGAAAGGATAGAGGGGTAAGCATGAAGTTCTTGGCAAGTTAGAGTTGATATTGAAGTAATTATATCATTAGAAGAAAACAACTTATCAAAAATGGGCACCTTTTGCTGTTCATGTTCTGTCAGGGATCAGAATTCATTCACATATAGACTTATCTTTATCATTGCCGGGCACTAAAAACACATTATCTTATATAACCTCACAATAGCCGCATGAATTACTCCCCTATAATAGATAGGCATACTGAGGTTTAGTGAAAATTAAGTAATTTGCCCAAATTTATGCAATAGTTCCGGGATTTGAAGCCAGGCAGTTTCACTCTAGAATCTAAACTTCCCCTACCATACCACTAATCTTTTAAATGTTTGCCAATATATGATACAGAAAGATATTTGGTTTTTGTCCCCATTCCTGACAGAGTTCCTAAATCCATTGTAATTTCCTGAGTGATGGGGTAACAGGAGTGTCTTGTCTTTTATTCACTTGAGGAGACTCTTGGCAGGGCCCCTACATAGCTGCAGATGGGGGCTGGTGACCAGAAAAGCCAAGCCTTGATTAGAAGCCTGGAACTTTCAGCCCCACCCCCCAACCTCCAGGGAGGGGAGAGGGGCTGGAGACTGAAGAATTAATAACCGATCATGCCTATGTGATGAAACCTCCATAAAACCCCCTAAACACTGGGGTTTGAAGAGCTTCTGAATTGGCAAACACATCCATGTGCCAGGATGGTGACGCTCCCCAACACCACAGGGACAGAATCTCCTGCAATCTGGACTTTTCTGGACCTCATCCTGTGTACCTCTTCATCTGGTTGTTCGTTTGTAACCTTTATAACAAACTGGTAATAGTAAGGAAAGTGTTTTCCTGAGTACTGTGAGTCGTTCTAGCAAATTACTGAACTTGAAGAGGGGTGTTGTGGAAACACCCAATTTTAAAGCCAAGATGGACAGAAGTGTGGGGACCTGATACTTGAAACTGGCATCTGAAGTGAGGGCAGTCTTGTGGGACTGAGCCCTTAAACCTGTGGAGTCTGATGCAAACTCCAGGTAGTTAGTGTTAGAATTGAATTGAATTATAGGATACTCAGTTGGTGTTAGAATTGGTTGGTGTCAGGAGGAAAAATCCTCATAAACTCATAGGCCAAAAAAATGATATTGAATTGTTTTATTTTGTATTTATTTATTAATATGGATAAATATTTATTTTTCATGTATTTATCTGCCACTGAAATTTCCTTTTCCGTAAACTGCTTGTTCATGTCCTTTGTCAATTTTCCTACTGAGCTGTTTGTCTTTTTCTCATTAAATGCTAAGAGTTTCCTGTGTATTAGGTATGTTAATCCTGTGTCTATATTGTGTGTTGCAAATATTTCTCCCCTGGCTGGTTGACCTTTGTCTTTATTTATGGGTTCTTTTTTCCTGTGCCAACAATTCTAAAATTACATAATCAGATATATCAGTCTTTTCCATCATGGCTCTTTGCTTTTCATCTCATACTCAGGCATTCTGGAAGGTTATAAAAATATTTATGTTTTCTTCTGGTACATTTATGATTTTACATTTTTAGGCCTACGTTTTTAATCTTTCTGGAATTTGTCTTAATGTATTTTGAACTAGGATTCAAGTTTTTTATTTATCCAAAAAGGCTAGCTGAATGTTCTAACACCTTTTACCGAATAATCTAACTTTCCCCACTGATTCTGAATTGCTACTTTTTATCATGCACTGAATTCTCATATTTTCTTGAGTTTAATTCTGATTATTCTAATCATTGCATTGATTTCTATTCCTATAGTATTATCACACTGTTTTAATTACCATTCCCTAGTAATACGCTTTATTATCTGATAGAGCTAATCTCCACTTTTTCTTCTTCTTCAGAACCTTCCTAGCTATGCTTGCATGTTTATTCTTTCCAAGAAATTTTGGTTTCATTTTTTTTAAGTTCCACTTACCCTTTCACTTTCTGCATCTGCTCTAAGGTCTCTGGCAGAGCCATTCCAAAACTTTCAGGGAATAAAAGGGTGATGATTCCGTTCAGGACAGTCAGGGTGCCCATGAGGATGTAGGGCAGAACTCTGTTGTAAGCACCTGTAAGGCATGAGGACATCAGTTAGATACAGGGATTCTCCATATGCTCTTGAGAAGCATTTTGTAAAGATAGCAAACAGTATTTGAAAGAAGTTTTAAATCTGAACATTTTCAGGAGAAATAAAGTATGCAAAAGATCACAGTTTCTTTTTGGCAGATGCCATTGCCTTTGGCAGATCATGTGCCTACTTGATTTTGAATTTTCCTAAGGTCTTTCATGTCAACTGGTATTCTTTAAGCTAGTACTTAATCATGTGTGACACATGTTCCTTTGATAGAAATCTTGGCCTACCAAAGTTCTCCTCTTAAGGTGGAGGTAAGTGGAGATGGGTGACAGGAGGATATCAAGGGGAAAGAGGTTGACCAGGATGTTTCAAGGACTGGTACTGGCTCTTTTGACTGGTGTGATCTTTGCTTTTGCCCAAATCAGTAGGCTGTAGTGGAAAGCTAGGTCCACAGATCCATGAGACTTTTTAAAAAAAATCTAAGTAATATTTTCGATGTAGTTTAAATCAATAAATGTCAGGCACTGTGAAAGCACTGTGCCTGGCTTTGGTTTCTTTTTGTAGCATTTATATGTCTTGGTTTTACAAGTAATTGGAAGAACCACTCCACTTCTTCTTTATCTGGTGTTACTCACACAGTGTTACTGCACAAAATTGGGGTTCTCTTGCCTGATTCACATAAAAAAATTAATTATGGCATTAGCTCTTGGAAAAAGAAATCAGCTTTATTCTGTGAGATTCATCTGCAGGGAGACAGGGGGCATATGCCCTCAGATCTATCTCCCCAATTCAGTATTTGGGGCAAAATTTAAGAGGTTAGGGAGAACAGGATGGCATGTGGAAATGCTGGTGGGACAGGTTTTGATTGGTGGCCTTCAAGCATTTATGGTAAGGTTCTAAATGATGAGGTCTTATGATGAGGTTCTAAACATTTATGGTAAGGTGGGGAAGGAATTTTAACACCATATCTTCCTGAATGATGGACCCCTTGCTTTTGATAAGAGTCTGACTTTGAAGTTCCAGTCATGTCCCAGTCCTTTGGTTCCATGGTCATTTCAGGTCAAGATGTCTTCTTCTGTACATGCTCTGGCTACATGACTTTGCAAATTTTCTGAAAGACAATTTCTCAATTACTCTGTTTTTAAGATGGGGTCAGTTGAACTGGTCCTGGAGGGCCCGTGGTTACAAATCCCCGCTTTTTGTTGTCCATTCCTCATTCTTGAGAGATATAGGGCGATGACTGCTCTAGCTTCTTCCTGTTGATAAGGGGTGTAGGTTGTTCCATCTCACTGAACCAGTCTCTTAGTAAGAAGGTGATGGAAGTGGGCTCCCAAAGTTAGGCCTATATTCTGTAAGCAAGTAACTAGGTATTTAATAAGAAGCATTTCTAGAGAAACAAAAAGAAAAACAAGGTTAATGGTTGGAGCAAATCATAAACCAGTTTCTGAGCCCAGGGGGCAGCCAGTCAAAAGATTTCTAGATGGCAGGGTCAAAGCATCTTTTGCAGTCTGAAATGTCTCTGATGATGTCATCAAGTGTTCAGGTATCTTTCTGAGAGACATGAATCTCTCTTAAGTTTATATAAAGATGTCCAGCTTCAGTTTTCAGGGCTTCAAGAAAAAGGGTCATTTCAGTTCTCAATGATTCCAAATGAAAATGATAGAAAAAATTGAAAGTGTTAGTTTTGAGATTTATAGCCAGATATTTCAGGAGACTAGAAGAATTCAGGATCCAGTCCAAGTTACAGATATACAACAAAAACCTCAAAGACAATGATCAGAACTAGAATCTAATATCCATGAATGTGTACTATAGTTTCTAATGAAACATAATTTTTCTCTCTAAAATCACCCTCATTTTACCAAAGATATCCAAATTAGGACTAATTGGCTGGCAAAATAAGTCTAGCTTCAATAAACTTGGTCCAATTATTTACATAAGTACAGCAAGAATAGCAATTGATCATATAGGCTCTTTTAAATTTGCTTTGCTGGAACTTTTCATAAGGAATCTCAAATTGAACTTTAAAGGCCTCTCGAGGCCAGGAAAACCAAGCCAAGGACTTGTCATCAGACTGCCTGCAATACCTATAGAATTGGGTGAATTCCTCTCTTTTCTTGAAGTTCCTCAAAACATCCTGAGGTTTTTTGCACCTGCTAGGGTAGTGACCTTCTTTACTCACCTGGTAAGGTTGCTGGGAACCTGTAAGCAAGGTACCAGGCCAAGATTTCTAAGTGGCTTTATTTCACAAAGTGAATCTTTGTTCTTCAAAAGCTGGCTGGTCATATCTGAAGCTATGCATGTCTTTCTCAAATATGACATTCCGGTTAAGGCCTTGGTAATATAACCAATATTTCCAATTGTGTCTTGCTATAAGGAGATCAGATTCTTATTGAACTTATGCAAATAACTATATTGCCATGAACATAAGAATGCTCACTCATCAAGAGTTTGCAAATTCTGGAGGGATCAGGTAGGGAGAAAAAGATAAATGTTTCAATTCTGCCTACAAAGGTATAATTTACCAAATTTCTGTAAGTCATAGTTAGCTTAAGAGAAAAGAGAAAAAGGTTTCCTTAAATCTGAAAAAACAAAACACTAAAAATCAGCAATATCTTAAACAAAAAGTCATAAAAATTATAATCATCCTCATCAATTCATTCAGTCCTGTGTAATCTATTCTGGATCTTAATCTTCTGTTAGCAGTTTTATGAGGCCATCAGTTTCTCCATTAGACTTCTGTAATTTCCTACCCAGCTCAGTTTTATAATCTGAAAGTTTATCAGAAACCTGTAATCTAGAGTAAGTGTCAAAGTCCTTTCCTTGAGTCTCTCTGAAGATGAAACATTTGCAAAAGCAGAGTAAAACAAAACTGTCTGTAAATGACAAAAGACTTAAAAATGGCAATTGACAAAGAAACTTGGTTATTTCTGTGACATACAACACTCTAAGATAACTAGAATTATAGCTGACAACCAGGACAGATCAGAATTTTAGGAATGTTATATAATTTTTAAAACACTTATATCAATAACATTTACCAACATAATGTTGTAAGTCCCTATGAAACAATGCTTAGTTATCCATTTAACCATGGTGACAATTAAAGATTTTCAGGTGAATGCAGAAAATTAAATAGCTATAAGAAAAACCTTAGCACCTGTGATTAAGGACCTGATAAAAATAATACAGGAAACTAATTTTGATAAAACATAAAATCCCTACCCTTCTGGTAGACTACTCAAAGAAAAATACCTTTCATAATCTCTTTATCAAGAACAGACTAAAAGTTTAAGAAAATTATCCTTTTAAGAGAAAGAAAACCAAATTTTAATTTTTGTACCAGCTTTCTTTTTATATTAAAACTTATTTACTTAATTAAATTAATTTTGATCTTAGCCAACTTGACCACGAGCAAAATTTTTTCCTCAGGGTTCCTCTTCAACAAATCTTCTATAACTTTCTTTTTACATTCTGAATTTGTACCATGCCTTCTTTCTTTCTCTAGGACAAATTTATCTTTCTTAACAAAACAAATAAAAATATTTTCATTCTTTACACCTTCTTTACTGAAAGCATACCTTTTACTTTCCTTGACTACAAAGATGTTTTCCTTATTAATTTTTAGTAGCTTTAATCACATATATTAATTAGAATTCTCAACCCTTACTGACCTTTATTTTTAGTGAAAACTAAGAAGTGAGCAATTATGAACTGTCTTTTACATTAGCATTCTGTAGTTTGGCAAGTTTATAAACACTTTTCATAATTTCTAAAAACATGCTACTTCATAGTACAATTTTTAATAAAATACAAGACACATGTACTAATAGACCCAAACATCTTTTAGTTTCTCTGTAATAAGAAGCCAAAAGTAGATAAACTTAGACACGTTTAGCAAGAAAGTTTCAGTATTTTATCTTATTTGAAAATGACCAAGATATTCAATGAATTTTTTATCATTTAATTTCTCCTAGAAAAACTTCGAAGTTTCAAGTTACCAAAGAGATTTTTGGATTTATTTTAAATACACATGCCATAACACATAATTATTGTTAAAAATTTCACCCAACACTTTTATCTTTTTCACATCTATTTAGTTTTCTCATTCCCAATAATTATTTAGATTGCCTACAAAACTTCATGAGACATTAGGCAAGATTAGCTATCATTTTAAGTTATTATTTTTGCTAACCAGTTTTATAACAGAGATAAGATCAGCTTATTTGACCACTAAACATAGAGTAAAGGCTGTGTGTCTGCATCATATACAGTGCTGATAACTGTCAGGACATGTCCATTTTAATCAAACCAACAATCTTAAATAAGCTTTCATTTACCAAAGATTAATTTATGTCATGTTAACTTGAAAGACATTTGGGTTAATTTCTATTACATTTAGAAATAATTTATATAAGTGCTTACTTTAAGCCAATTGAATAGAGCTCTTTAGAAATTATACCATCCAGAGGTAAAATATCACATATATATAACATAGATATACACACACATACAGAGAGTCTCCATAGCTATTGTTTTAAAATTACTTCCATGAATCAGGCACAGTAATATAAGGCTCACTAGTTTTGAAAGAATAACTGAATCCAAATTTTGTTTTAAGTTTTTTTACTATTTGTGGAAAAGACACCCAAGATGCTAGATTTTGGGCAAGGGTGCTCTTATGGCTGTTTTTTTTCCTTTTTCCCTTTTCTTTTCTTTAGTCTTAGGAATTGGTAATGGGCTAGATAGTTCTCAGAGAGTTTGCAAGCCTTTTGAGATAAGGGAAATGGGCGGAACCCAAACTGCCTCCAGAGCTTCATTTCCAGTCTTGCAAGGATTTTTTTTTTTAAGGACAGTTGCTCTTCATTCCTTAGAAATTGGGTTGTAACTTAAACGACATTATAGGTTGCTCTGCCTCTCCAACTGCATCATCCCTGATTTGCTTCTTTCCCTCTGGGTGCTTAGTTTTATTTTTAACTTAGGGACAAAGGCCTGGAAAGAAAATTCCTATCAGGCTCTGAATATCAGCTTCCAGTTTGGCTGAATTTCTGATTTTAAGTTGCTAAATCCTTTCAAATATCTTGTCAGGTTTCAGCCAAGAAGAGCAGCAATTATACTTGGCAGTATTGAACAATTCCAGTAATCTTTAAGGTAGCAGTTTCCCAGAAAATCTCTGAGTCTCTTTAACTCTGGGAGGGGCTCATTTTAGGCCCTCCTTTGAAGGTAGAGTATGGGATGTCCATAAAGCTGTGACCTAATAGGCTTTTCTTTTAGGTACCTTTTATAACTTAATTTTCTATTAGCTTTTTGCAACAAAACTTTCAATAAGGTTATTTTGGAATTTTGAAGTTTTTACTTTTAAGTGTACTTTTAAATGATTTTACCTAATCAGAACGTTCCTTCTAATGGCCAATGAAATTCCTCTTAGGCTGATGGCAGTTTGGTACGACTTTTCGCCTCAAAAGGGAGTACAACCCACATTTCTGTCCGACCATCTTAGACCAGAAAATGGGGTGCAACTGCATTTTTGTCCAATCGTATTTTTGGGACCTCCACCTGACAAGTATTAAGCCAAGCCCTTAGGACACTAAACAAGCTTGGTAAGGTTCTGCAGTTCTTTGTAAACATTTATAGCTTCTAGAACCTTTAGGTTTTGAATAATTGTGCTGGAAGGTGGCGCACTTGACTCTTTAAAGATTTCTTAGTTTTTTGGTTCAAAAGCTCAAAAGGAGCCCACAGTGGCCACTATAATTTTAAATTATCCTGGGTTATCTTGCCAGCTGTTTACAGTTATTTCCATTTTAGGGAGCTCTTTCCAAGGTGGCCACAACAAATAAGGTAATTTCTCAAGAGAGTTTGTTACAGTCATGGAGAAACTCAGTCCCCAAACAGACAATTTTAACAAATAAAATAGTCAAGCATAGACAAATATGAACAGACACAGAAATCCAATACTCTGGGACTCTAACCTAGGGTACTCTGGGATCCTACTCCAGAGTTTGGGACTCTAACCCAATCCGTTGAGTGCCCCAGCAGCTGAAACCCTCTTATCTTGTCTCTTTTGAACCCACTATTCTAGCCTTGGGACTTTAATCCACCAAAATCTCCCCAGTGGGGACTCTTAACCCACAATTCTATGAAATATTAGACAATTTTAGGCACAGGTGTGTTTTAACGAGGTCACTCACCCAAAAGACGTTGGATCCTAGAGCTGTGTCTTCTCTCAAAAGGAAAAAGAGTGCCAAGGTGACCTGGGGCACCATGGCGGGAAATGGGAATCCAATCAGCCAAGCCTCCAGACAAAAATGTCTAGGCAGCCACTTAAAGCCAGTGAAAAGACCCCGCACTCCACCAGGGGCTCCAGAGCCTTGGGTGGGTGGTTACAGGACCTTGTCCCTTTGTGGTCAACAAAATTTGTTACTGCACAAAATTGGAGTTCTCTTGACTGATGCACATTAAAAAACCAATTAATTATGGCATCAGCTTTTGAGAAAAGAAATCAGCTTTATTCTGTGAGATTAATCTGCAGGGATACAGGAGGCATGTGCCCTCAGATCTGTCTCTCTGATTAAGGATTTGGCGTGAAATTTAAGAGGTTAGGGAGAACAGGCTGGCATGTGGAAACACTGGCAGGACAGGTTTTGATTGGTGGGCTTCAAGCATTTATAGTAAGGTTCTAAACACTTATGGTAAGGTTGTAAATATTTATGATGAGGTTCTAAACATTTATGATAAGGTGGGGAAGGAATTTTAACACCAGATCTTCCTGAATGATGGACCCCTCACTTCTGATAAGAATCTGACTTTAGGGGCCCGCCCCATGCCATAGCGGTTAAGTGCGCGCGCTCCGCTGCTAGCGGCCTGGGTTCGGATCCCAGGCGCGCACCGATGCACCGCTTGTCAGGCCATGGTGTGGCGGCGTCCCATATAAAGTGGAGGAAGATAGGCGCAGATGTTAGCCCAGGGCCAATCTTCCTCAGCAAAAAGAGGAAGACTGACATGGATGTTAGCTCAGGGCTGATGTTCCTCACCAAAAAAAAAAAGAGTCTGACTTTATGTCTCAGTCCTTTGGCTCCGTAGGGAGGAGAATCTTTAGTTCCATGGTCATTTAAGGTCAAGATTTCTTCTTCTGCACACGCTCTGGCTACATGATTTTGCAAATTTTCTGAAAAATAATTACTCTGTTGATAAGATGGGGTCAGTTGAACTGGTCCTGGAGGGCCCGCCGTTACAACAGGAGAATAATAGATCCTCATCTTGCTTCCCTTCTGCATATGGAGATTACAGAGGAACAATACACCCAAGGATTTTATTTGACAAAGAACATTAATCTTGAAGCTTCTCTGAGGCCTCTGTGTCACTAGTAGGAATAGCTATTGTGGAATAGAAAACTCTGTCTCAGACTCCTCCATTTCTTATGTACCAATGGGCCACTATTAGACCATATGAGGATGGTTTGAAAGTACAGGGAAGAACAAGGGGAAATGACATCACTCTACATTAATAATGGGCTTTCTCCTGTGTTGTTCAGGGCAGCAGTGCAGAGTATGTTTAAGACAGGAAAATTTTTCTCTTTCTCTATAAGGATTTAGAGTGTACCTTTTCTGAGAATTCATATGTCTTTGGGGATATATGTGTATGTATGTGTTTGAACCAGTAGGTAACCAATGGATAACTCAGAAGACTAAGGAAGTGTGTCTACATCTCTCACCAGTAGAGTCCTTAATGAGGATTGGGCTTGGAGTGCCAGATCTTATACCCACTGAACATCCCACTGAAGCCCCTCTGTGATGTTATTCCAGATTGATAAATTTGATTAGATAAAAACTAAAATTTCCTGCATTGCAAAAATATCATAAAGTCACAATGTAAATGATAAACTAGGAAAAATATTTACAACATATATACAGAGGGCTAATTTCTTTCAATTACAAAGAGCTCTCACAAATCAAAAATGAAAAGTTGAATAAACCATTAGAAAGATGGGCAAAAGATATGAACAGTCAGGTCACTGAAAAATAAATAGAATGTCAATAAATATATGAAAAAATGCTCAACCTAATTCATAATTAAAGAAATGGAAATGAAAGCAACAATTATATCCAGTTGTCACATAAGAGATTATCAATGATTAAAAAATCAGATAATCCCCATTGTTGGTGGGGATATAGGGAAACAGGCAGTCTCATATACTGATATCTAGACTGTAAATTTTGCACAGTATTTAGAGTTCAATTTGGCAATATCTATGAAATTTTTAAGTTGCTCCAACAATTTTACTTCTAAGACTCTATCCATGAATCCAAATATACATAAACAAACTAATAAAGGGTGTAGGGAGTAGGAGAATGTTTATTGCAGTGTTATTTGTAATAACAAAAACCTGGGAATGGCTTAAATGTCCATCTGTTGAGCCCAGTTAAATAAATTATGTATGTACATACATTGGAAGACTATACACTAACTAGAAAGAAGGTAAAAGAGCTATATATACCAATATGGAAAGCTATTCTGATACAATGTTAAGTTTTTAAAAAGCTGTAAAACAATATATATAATACAATTTTGTTTGTGTGTTTAAGAAAATATATATTTATGTTGTGCAAAATAAAATGTCTGAAGGGCTACTCACCAAACTGTTAATATTAGTTACTTCTAGGGCTGTGATATGGGGAGCCAAGAGAGGAGAGGTGAACATGTACTTTTTCCAGTACTTCCTATGCTGTTTGAATTTTTCACAATGAAAAGCTATTACTTATATTTAAAAAAAGAACAAACTGATAAAATGCATCTCACCGAGGTAAACAAAGTAGGGAGCAATGATGCTGCCCACTCTGGAGGCCATGGATGTGACCCCCACAGCCATGTTCCTAACGAGTGTTGGGTAGAGCTCTGCAGTGAAGACATACAGCATGGAGAAAGCAGAGGTGATCCCGAATTTTCCTAACATCACCAGACCAATGGACAAGAAGTTGTAATCTGGAAAAGAGACCCAGTGTAAACTCAGGTGCTTCGAGAAGTGATACTTTCATAACTCAGTTGCTTTTAGTGTCCTTTTTGCTTGTAAGGGAATGTTTTTATAATATAAAGATATTCCCCAACTAACACTTTCTCTTCAAATGCCGTAAAAATCGGAGATGGACAAAGATGGAGAGTGAGGGGTTGCTTTGTGCTTTGCTCTACTGTTATTCTAGATCATTGATGCACCCAGTGACCTTTGTCCATTTTTACTTGTTACAACAATTTCCTGGTAAGTTGTTAGCATGTTAATACAGTTAAGGTTAATCTTCAAAGAGAAGGATCAATCCTTTCTATCCTGTTTACTATTATTAAGAAATTATATTTCTATGTATAATACTACATCTCAACAATCTATTGAATTAACATTTTAATAATATGAGAAAATTAGACATAAGGGGAAAAGGGAAGCATTTGTCCCTTTGTGTGCTTTTTATTGACTTAAACATTACAGACCATAAAAATCACTGACTTTATACTGGAACTGGCATGTACTACCAACTCTAATACTTGAATATATACCTCAGGGAAAAGGTTTGAAAGTAGCAAGAAATGGGAATCAGGGTTGTGACTGAAAGAAAGAGGTTTAAGGGTTTAGGTGAATATTTCTACAAAGGGGATGACTGAGAGCATGACTCTTCCTCTTCAGGTAGTGATTTCCTATTCTCCAAGGCCGACTCTTCTGTTTGAAGGGAGTTGTTCTGAACACAGGAAACTACATAGTTAGCTATCATTTGTCTAACTGACTTATGAATGGCTTATGATGTAAAGGCCACATAAACAGGGAGCATGACTAATAATTAGCCTAGTCAAGATGTGAATCTTTCCTGGTAAGCTGTTAATGTTGGTTTACTTCTTACCTGCAGGCACCACTTGAAATAAGAGAAGCACACCTCCTCCCAAGAACAGTACTCCAGCTATGATAAAACGCCTGGGCAGGGTTCGCAGGAGCAGCCAGGCTGTAATGTAAGCTGGAACTTCAATCAGGGCAGAGAGGAAACAGTTCAGGTAGGCATCTCCATGTAAATTAGGAGTGTTGAGAGATAGAGCAAAGTAACCCACTGAGGTTAGCATCCTGAAAAACAAAAGAAAAAAAAAGGAATGACAGAAGGATGGCCTGAATCACTCTAAAATTTCATGATGGTCAAGAAATTGTCTAGATCTTGCTGTCCTACAAGTAGCCACTAGCCACACACGGCTACTTAAAAGTAAATAAATTAAAATTAAATAAAATTAAAAATTCAGTTGCTCAGTTGCACTAGCCACCCTTCAATTGCTTAATAGCCATATGTGCCTAGTGGCTACTATAACGGACAACACAGATATAAAACATTTTCATCACTGCAGAAAGTTTTATTGGAGAGCACTAGTGCAGATATGCCAATATGCAACAATACTTCTCCTAGTCTAGTGAATTTCAAATTTCGATATTTCCTGAACGGTTTGTATGTCCTCATTCCCTTACAGCTATTATTTGAAGAAAGAATGTCAGTCAGTGACCATAAAATCCAGATTTCATTCTTACCAAAAAAAAAAAAAAAGATATATATTTAATACTGTGATCCACTTACAGTAAATTCTAATTGATTTAGTAAAACTCACTTTGGGGAAAAGAATGCAAGTCCTGTAATGCTTCAATGTCTCACAGAGTGCGCACTGCCCATTCTGTCATTACGGTTAACTTCCATGTAAAAGCCTCTCTGTGGAAAAACGAGTGCACTATGCAGACGCCCCTGCGTAGAAATTTGCTTATTATTAACAGGAGTGGAAAGCAGAGGATATCTGCAAAATGTTTTAAGGAACACTGTTGAATCTTTTTATACAGACTCTACTAGATTAGGTAGCACAAGGGCTAATCCAAAACAAAATGAAAAATGAAACTTTATTGCTCTAGGGGTCTTAGTGATTTTCACATTTGGTAGTAAGCGCAGCTGACATAAACTGGTGACCGGTTTATTACCGGCTCAGTCGTGCTACTGCTCAAGATTCGTGTGCATCAATGACATGTAAGAACAAAGGAGGTCTACAGCGAGGAAAGCTATGTGCCTAGGACACACTTGCTTAATTCAGAGGCATAAACTCTCTCATTGATTTCTTCTAATTGCAAAACAGGGTGGCCCTAAAAATAGACAAGCTGCAGTCTGAACCTACTAGTTCTGATTATCATTTTTTTTGTGCCACCATCATACAGTAAGCATGTTCCTTTTTTCTTCTTCCTCATTTCCTGGCAGACACATTATTAAACATAGTCTACAAAGTGAATTAATTATTTTTATGCCTTAAAATCACTCGGTAGTTTGCTATTAGCAAGTGTAAAAAGCTTGTCAAAACTCCAATCCAAGCAGTGGGGATTCAGGTTATTCTAACCTCACTGATCAACTGCCAGTACAGCTTCAGGAAGCAGGAGCTGAATCAGCAGCTCGGCTTCAGGCACCAGGGACATCATTAGTCTTAATCTCAATAACTTTAGGACAGGAGAGACTCTTTCTCCATGGGCCACAGTACTGCAGACTTAACTATCGTTCCCATGAGCTTTTTTTCAGTATCCAATTCCATGAGTTGAATTGACGCATTTCCAAATAACTCAGAATTCTGTAATTTTTATTTGTCTCAGGAAGACCCAGGCCTTGCCCTGATGTTCCCTTGAATTAAAGAAAATCAGTTGTATACTTATGTGCTGCATGTCGCATCTCCAGATCACTTATTACTTACCATAGCAGCAAAGACATAATGGTTATTGTGGCAATATTCCGAGTCCTAAACAGGTCCAGAATAAAGACTTTCTGCTGCTTCAGGGATGTTAGCTCCAGTAGCTAAAATAATGCAAATGACCATGAGATTAAGAGATAGTGAGGAAGTATCCTCAGCCTTGACAGCATGGGAAAAACTTATGCATGTAACTCTCACTTCACCTTGAATATGTTTAGAAGTCTAGAATTTGCAGGGAATAAGGGCATCTACACATATGATGCTTATTCTAACACTTTAAAATGTTTGTGACTCATTTTAGACAGAGACCTTTTAAATATATAACATTGGCTCCACTGTCTCTTTATATAAAACCTGACTGCTAACATAGCCTTTCCTGACTCATGGTCATCACTATGGGTGACCTTAATCACACTGAGCTATGATCCTTCGGGCCTGTTGAGTGGGTAGGGCCATATACCCCCAAACTGCCTTGAGGTCCATGTCTGCTTTTTATACTTTTCTTGTTGTTGTCTCAGTGTCAGAACAGACTTGGGTTAACTGGGGGACCTAGGGCAAGTTGCTATTTATCCTCTCTGAGGCTTAGTTTACTTCTCTGTAAAACAGGTACAATAACTGGGAGTTGCAAAGATTAAATGAGATCATATATATAAAGCTTAGCATAGTACTTGAACCATGGTAAATGCACAATGCATTTTAACTATTATTATTATCCCTGCACCATTGAGGAGGAGCCACCAGCTGTCAGGGGTTAGTGGCAATTTCATACTGCTGTCAATGGGCTTCCCTCCTTTACTTTTAATTTACTGAAGTTAACTTGCCATGCATTAGGAATCTAGATAACCACACTTATTAGAATTGAAACTAGAAAGTTACAAAGCTCTGAGGTGAGGAATCTCTTTGGGATCAAGTACAAGGACTTTGTGGCCCTACAGTGTGTGTGCAATAAGAGGCTGAGGAAGCAGATTCTATTATGAAGGAAGTGGGAGTGCCAGACCTGCCTTTGTAGCAGGTGCTCCTCAGATATTAGTATCCTTACTAAGAATAATCAGACACCTCCTCACGCAGCTCACAGCCATACTACCTTTTTTCTTCTACACTATTTGGACTGTACAGCTCTAAAACATGCCCCGATCTCTATAACTCTATTATTATGACAAAGCAAAGCCCCGGCATAAACTAGTGGGAACTAGATATCCTCCTGGAGGGTCTGGGAGTGGTGCCATGCACAGACAGGACCTGCGGATCGGGCCTGTGCTAACACTTGGTGCTTCCACAGGGCCCTCGTGAACATGCAGATTGCCAGGTCCCACCCTGGGCTCGCTTACTCTGAATCTTTCCTGGGGCCCAGTGACCTGGGAGTCTGTATTTTTAAAGCTCCTTGGATGACTGTGATAAGCAGCCAGGTTTGGAAACCTGAGGACAAGAATATTCTTGTATAGTGCTTGTCCCTGGCCCATGTGGAACTGCCAAAATGTCTTTGGACCAGGTACCACAAGCAGGTTGAAGGTGCTTCAGAAGGGAAGCCAGAGAAGCCCAAGACCAGTTTCCAAGATGATACTACTCTATATTTTTTCCTGTCCACGTTAATGCCACTGCCCAAACATGAGGTAAGAAAGCGCAGTTGTTAAGAGCATGCACTTTGGCACCAGAGAGACCTAGTGACACTTTTAGTTGTGTGATCCTGGGCAAATGACTTAACTTCTCTGTACCTCAGTTTCCTCTCCTGAAAAATGGGCCTACCGTAGTACCTACTAGCTAAGGCTAGCATGAGCATCAAGTGAGCTGAACGCTGTGGCTGGCATCTGGTAGGCTCTCCATTATCATTCTCAGCAGGCTGCATTTGCTGACACAGGACTCTGCAGATCCTCACAAAGAGGACCCTATTTGAGAGGTGAGCAGGGGAGATGACTGGGCCTTGGGAAAGAAGGAGCTCCCTTTCCCTCGGCGGGCTTGTCCAGGACAGGCTCCATGTGCTCATGGCAGGAAGGAACAAGGTGCTGTCAGAAGCATGTGTTTTGACACTGGACTTCATTCTTATTTGTCCATATCAATATATCTCTGATATGTTTTATGATTTCTTTCATCCACGTAGGTCTAATCTCTGCTAGAAGGCTGTAAATTCCTCAAAGATAGGAATCAGACCACATATCCAATAAATATCAATAAACATCCAGAAAAGCCCCAAAATGCAGAAGTGTTAGATACTCCCAATGTTATTTTTGCATTCAGTTAAATTGACTAAGGCTGGGAATGGAATTCTTGATCTGAAGAGTAAAAGATTAAGAGATGTTTGTCCTGGCAGCCCTCTGAGAGCTTGGCTTCACAGCCACTGTAATTAATCCTCCAGCCATCGTCATAGTTTCTGCTTCTGTCAAAGGTCCCAGAGGCCAGGGATGGCGGAAGCCCTGGGGGTGGAGCACTGGCATACCCACCACCCTCCACACAGCCCTGCCTTCTAGGGTAGCCAGTAGTGCAGACTTGAGTGTGGGCTATGCATACTGTCGCTGCAGCCACGCTAGTCTTCTTGGGGTGTCCTGAGCAGTCCCCTACCCTTCTCCTAGCCAGGAATGCCCTACCCCAGGCTCCCCACTTATTGAAGTGTCCTCCCTGGTTTGGACCCACCTCTTCAGCCCCAAGTCACTTTGCTCTCTTTCTCTGCTGACCCACAGTGTCCACTCCTTGGGTACATAGCTATTTCCTTTCTCAAGTTATCATTTATCTTTCATCGAATCCTCTTGACACTCTTAGTTACATTCTATGCTCCTTAAGCATAGGAACTGTGTCTAGTTTTTCCTGTTTTCTCCGGGAGCCGGCAAAGGGCATTGCCGAGAACACCACAAGTCCTCATGACTTTAAGGAAGTGCGGCTGCTCCACAGAACATCAGCTTTTCCTTGTGCCTCCAGGGGTGAATCCTCCAGCCTGTGCTCTCAGGTCTTAAGCTTCTAGACACAACATAGCAAGACTAAAGACATGTACAGCTTCCTCAGCAGGCTTTGGTAAGATTCAAGGTACAGTGGGGGAACTCATGGTTGGAATACCTTTCAAACACATTTTTTCCACTTAATTTGGACATTCGAAAACCACCAGTAGGTAGCTGCGTCAATGGTATGGAGCAATACCGATAAAGAGTTGGAGATAAACTTGCAAAAGGGAAGGGAACTAATATTTAATCAACACTTGCTCTATGCTAAGCAGTTTACATATATTATTTCACTTAATTCATACACAGCCCTTTGAGGTAGGTTTTGTCTCAGAACTTAATCATCATTGTGTCTCTAAGGCTTTGTACAGAGCCTGGTACAGAGTGGGCACTCAAAACATACTGAATTAAATTAAATGCCAGAAAATCAAGACTGCATAGCTGATCCCAAGAGGAGACATCCACAAATGCTTACCTCCACAGGATCAAAAACCACCCCTGGGGCCGCTACGTTGTTTATTTTTGCAGCTTTTTGGATGATATCTTCAGCCTCTCTAAATCTTCTCTGGGATATCAGCCACCGGGGAGATTCAGGAATAAACCTAGAATTCATTTTTAATGGTTTATAATTTTTCACAATAGCAGTATTTGATACTATTAACTGTAAGTTGCTCCCAAATAATTTTTATTTGTAAAATTCTATTTTATCTTTTCAAAGACAATCAGGAGGGAGGTCTCATATGATTTCCATTAATGATAAGAATAAATAAAAACACCTTCAAGTTTCAAAGTTCTGATCAAATCACAAGACCAATCATCAGTTGTACTTGAAGCCAGGACCAGACCAGAAGGGGTAATATTAACCATGGATGTGTTTACCAGGGCAGCTGGAGACCATCCAAAACTTAATAGCCAGTGTGGCTCATAAAAGAAACACAGGCTAGTTTCTTTTCAAAGTGTCCATCCCTAGGAGGATTCCTGGTGCCTCAGCTGGTGATGCTCACAAATTTATTGGGTAAAGGATGGCCAGGGCATCTGTGCTCCTCGGGATTTTCTTGTAGACAGAGGAGAAGGTGAGTGCACTGACACCCTCCTGTGGGCTATCTCTGTCAGTTTCAACAGACTCCCAAGTCAGTGAGTACTCAAAACAGTTTTTGGGAGACGGCCAACACTGTCTTTTTTTTTTTTTTTTTTAATGTCTAGAAACTTAATTTTTGTGTGTGTGTGTGTGAGGAAGATCAGCCCTGAGCTAACATCCATGCTAATTCTCCTCTTTTTGCTGAGGAAGACCGCCTCTGAGCTAATATCTATTGCCAATCCTCCTCCTTTTTCTCCCCAAAGCCCCAGTAGATAGTTGTATGTCATAGTTGCACATCCTTCTAGTTGCTGTATGTGGTACGTGGCCTCAGCATGGCCGGAGAAGCAGTGTGTCGGTGCGCGCCCGGGATCCAAACCCAGGCCGCCAGTAGCAGAGCGTGCGCACTTAACCGCCAAGCCATGGGGCCGGCCCCTTAATTTTTTAAAAATATGTTTATTTAGAAAATATATCTTCACTTCACTTGGCTTTCATTTTCTTTCTTTTTTTTTTTTTTTTGTTGGTGAGAAAGATTGTCCCTGAGCTAACATCTGTGCCAATCTTCCTCTATTTTGTGTGTGGGATGCCACCACAGCATGGCTTGATGAGCGGTGTGTAGGTCCGTGCCCGGGATCCAAACCCGCTAACCTCGGGCTGCTGAAGCAGAGCACACGAACTTAACCACTACGCCACAGAGCCACCCCCTTAATTTTTTTTTATTACATAATCTATTCACATTTTTAACTGATGCTCAAACACAGTTGACTTCTAGTCATTCCTAATTTTTCTATTTTTTCTACTTATTTTTATTATACCTATATTTATTTATATTTTCTATTCCTTCCTAATTTTTATTTCTCAGAATCTCTTAGCCATTCTTCTGCCAGCTCTTGTTTTCCTTACTTATTTATCAGTACTTAGTTATCCTAGAAAATAAATGACATGTAGAAGATACAGAGACCTCCTAAAATTAAAGTGCCCCTCCAAAGCCTCAATAGGAATTATCTTAGAGCAAAACACAAAGAAATCAAATGGCCAACCCCAGCTCACCTCCCCAGTTTACTAGCACATGGGTTGAAAAATGAACCCAGTTTGCATTTTTGGGAATATGCCCTTATTTGGTCCCTGTGGCAACTGTGATGACGTCAGGTCACTGACCTCCAGTAATTAGAGCTGTGCTGTCCACCAGAACTTTCTGCAGTGTTCTGTATCTGTGCTGTTCAATACAGTAGCCATCAACCACATGTGGCTACTATGGTTAGTGTGACTAATGTGACTGAGGAAATTTATTAACTATTAATTAATTTTAATTTAAATAGCTGCATGTGGCTAGTGGCTACTGTATTAGTGCAGATTAGAGGTCTTACTACACAGCCACTGTATACTTCATGGGCACTCCTACTTCTGAGCAGTATCTTTCCCCAACTAGGTTGTTCTTAGCAGGCTCTGAGGGCCATCATTGGCCTCAGGTTCCTTAGCTGGATACTGCAGTGCTTTCCCCATGTTGCATCTATGGGCTCCTTCCCCACCCCCTAGACATGTACTCCATTCATACTTGTGATCAATTACTGCCAAGCTTTTTAAAGAGAACTTGGAACATAAGAAATCCCCAAACCACTAGCAGTGGCTCTGAGTAGGTTCCCCTCCCAGTTCCAGCCCACTGTACTCAGGGCTGCTGCAGTCTCTACTTTTGAATTGCCATGGTTTTTTGGTGCATGAAGAATCAAGTCTAGCTGATCATTTCAAAAGTTAGTGGAATGCCAAATGAGATTGTACACTAGAGCCTCTCTGTAGATTTCATGCAAATTGAACAGGCGAAGGATGTTGCCAGAGAATCTGTATCACATACTGAGCAGGCAGCAGGGAGTACAGCAGCCTGAAGCATTCCCCACCTCATCCCAGCCCACCAGGACTGATCAGCATTGCTTCAGGAAATCCCATCCTCAAGGACAAGATGGTCAAAAGAAAAGCTATTTTGTTTTTATGGGAAAATGATAAGATTGTTGTTGTTAAACTTTCAGGACAAGCTCTCAGCTTGTTAGTGCTGGCCCTGGACTGCCCTCCATCTGGGGCAGTCCTATCCCTGGTACGGTGTGCCCACAGCCAGGAGCATTCACAGACCAGCCTGTGGGCAACAGAAGAAAGAATTCTCCTTAGGGCAAGAGTGAGGCAGCTCCTCATGGGATGGGCCTTCTCTGCTGGAAACTCAAGAGGCTGCCTATCAGAGCTGTTCCTTGTTGTGATATTTGGTCCTGAGACAGAGATCCAAGCCCCACAAATTAAAATCCCCACTAATCTCTTATGGTCAATCAGTGCCCTTCCATTTTTATTCTCTCTCTCTCTCTGATAGAATGATACAGTAATAAGTCGATTATAACTTATTTTAAAAGTACTGGTGTCTCATGCCAAAATGACTAGAGCCAGGGAACACAGATTATCAGAATCATTCATCTGAAGAGGCAGAAAATAAACTTTGAATCATCTTATCTTGTGTCTTGAGAGAACCTCTGGCCACCAACATCTTTTACAATAAATTCAGTTAGCAGGGGATTGTGGAGAGAGGGATAGAGGGTGTGATGATGATAATGACGACAACTCTCATTCCAGAAACTTGCCCTGCTCTTGTAAATCTGGAGTGCTTTCCTTAGAGGCAGGGCTGTGTAGATAATGGCCTGCCCTTACTTACCAGAAGCTTTCCTGACCCTCAGACTGGGTTCCAGAGGAAACCTCCAAGTCAGAATAGTATCTAACCTTAAACACACTGTCTCTCAAATTCCAAGGAAGTAAGAAAAAAAAGTCCTCTCTCCCCCCATGCATAGCCATGCTCAGAATTTACACTGGTAAACCATAGCAGTCTTAGAGGTCATAAAAAGACAGTAGCTTGGAGGGTCCAATCTGAGCCATCTGTTCCAATGAGGCCAAGATGTGCTACCTGTCAGCCTTTCCGGCTGTCTAACAGTTGCAGCAAGATGAAGGACCATCTAGGCAACTTCCTAGGCAGTGTCCAAAGGACAGGGTAGCCATGAGGGCTAGTCTAAACTGTGAGTTCCAAAAAATGATCAAAGAAACTTCCATTGTGTGTAAGCAGGTAGAGATCAGCAGTTCAGTAAAACCAGTCACTGCTAGCAGATTTGATTTTGATATCATGTAACCAAACCAAGAAGAATTAATGAGAAAGAGACAGAGCCAGGCCTGACAGTGGAAGAAATCTCCCTTACCCTTGCTTAAATATGAAAAACCAAAGACATGGGAAATCCCAAATAGAGGGCATGGCTGAGACTTAATTCTGTTATTCTTAATCTCTTCTCTCACCTGAAATCTCCCACGTAATCATGTTGGGTGAAACTGGGGCCAGTATCTCCAGGGTATCTAATGGGGCCAGTATCTTTGTTCCCCTTCTGATGTATCAAAATTGGGTTGGAGGGTTGTGGGAGGAGAGAGGAGAACATTTCTCGAACAACTCATTAAACAAAAGTAATTCTTGCACCCTTCCAGACAAAGCAGATACACACGCACACCTTAGGTGCTAATTATCATGTGATGGGGAAGCTTGAGGAAACTACATTAGTTGAATCCATAAGGAGAAAGATTTCCAAGAGAGAGAAAAGTGTCAAAAGAGCAGGCGGTAGAGTTAAAAACAACAAATCCCAATAGTACCATCTCTGCAAACCACCACTACATAAGAGTGAGGAGAACCTAGGCAGGGACTGGATTTCCTGAGAACTGGGCTTTGTGGGACAGTGGAGAATCAAACCCCAGCACACAAGCCCACCCATAGCGCGGCAAACACTCTCTGGGCTTCAAGGCCCCGGGCTCAGCCAGCTCCAGTGAGATCATGCAAGCCACACTGGAGTCAGCGCCAGGCTCTCGGCTCCAGGCATGCTGGCCTGCAGCAGGGGGCTGTCTGGGACCGAGCCACACTCACCACCACAGCGGGAAGCACAGCACCCCCGGCACCGTCAGCGCCAGCAGCAGCATCCGCCAGTCTCTGATGAAGTAAGCAAACAGTGGCAGCACCATGTAGCCAAGTGCAAAAAATGTGCACACTCCTAATGTAGAGAATATAATACGAACTGACTTGCCAAGAATTTCTGTTCCTGTTCAAAACAAGGGAGGAGTGTTAGCATTTTAACTCACTTTAATATTTACTTTTTACATCAATACCTGGTAGTTAGAGTTCAAACATAACCACTTAGAGAAGGGAAAAGGTGTTCGCCTCATGGCCCAGAGCAAGAGTGGTCAGAGTGGAAGAAGGTGGGAAGTGATCCAAGACTTATCACCCAAAACTTATAGAAGGTTGAGTCTTCATGATATTTTAAAGGAGTCTTAGATTTATATTTCCAAAGGCCATCTCATGACATGGAAATATCATGCCCAGCCCCAAGAGGTAATCTCTTCTGAGAATGCCACATTTCCAAAATAAGGGCCCTGGGGTGAGGAGCAGAGAGGGTGTTCCCGGAGAAGATGAGGGCTCGTCCAAGGGGCTATGTGGGATCACGGTGCATTTAGCCTTTCCCACAATTCTCCACTATAAATAAGATTGGCTTCTCAAGAAACAGTGGAGAGTTCACAGTTACTGAGTGGTGTTAGGACACCCTCAGCCACCCTTGGGCCCTAAGAAATGATAAATAGGATCCATCTGGTCTGGAGGAGCACAGAGCAGGCCCGCAGCGCCCAGGGCTGAGTTCCCCCGCAGCCACATTGTGCCCAGAGATCAGCCCCAGGCAGACACAGTCCATTCAGACCAAAGAAAGAAAAGAAGGAGCTGTTCTGCTGGCCTGGCAGGTGGCAGCTCTGGAGCTGGCACACACCCAAGGAACTCCACAGAGCTTTCCTAGAACACCATAAAAGCCCAAGACTGGGCCCTGTTTTGGGAAGGACACGCAGGTGGCTGTAGGCTCCTGCCCTGTTCAGAACCACAGTGCATCACTTGGCATCAGTTCTTCCAAGGACGTTGCTTGCCCCTTGGAGCTCTTGGTTTCAGATGGGGGAGTCCAAGAACAAGCTCCTTCTGTTATCACAGGACTCCTGGCCCTTTCCAGAGTCCACTCTTGGTCCTCTGCCCCAGGGGTGGAGATCTGGCCAATGGCAACAGCTCTGCCTTTTGTTTGAGATCTGCCCACTACAGAGAGGTAGCTCAGAAAATACAAAACAGACCATTTAAAGGTTGTTTAGACTTGGCTTTCAAGGAGATTTTCTCAATTGTGTGTAAGTGCTCTGAGCACAGGCTAAGGAATTAAGGGCTAATTCCAGAGAAACAATAAAATCACTACTTTGGCTGGTTTCCCATTCTTACCAGCTACCTGTTCCTATCCCCATCCACTTCTTCACTTAGCATAACTGAGAGATGTGCCTCAGTGGTTCCCTCTTAAACAGTCATTTCTAAAAGCCAGACTAATAGAAATGACCAGTACTGTGTGCCTCTCGCATCCCAGCCTTCAGACAATAACCCTAACCACCCAAGGCATTTCTCAGCCTCTAAACTCATTTCTAAGGATAGGGCCTGACTTTTTTGAGGATCATGAAGTGTTATTTCCAGATCTTTTCTTACCTCATTAATGACCTTCCTACCACTCCATAGGAAGACTCACCATGCCATGGTTTCTAAACACTTTGGCTGTGATTATCATGAAATGGGAATGAATAGGGGGTGCTTTATTCCTAAGCAGAGATTCAGAAGTGAAGCAGCAGAGGATTGGATTGTGGAAAAGAGAAAGTACACAGGACCAAGGAAGAATCTTGTAGAATCATGAGGCCAAGGGAGCTCCCTCATACTTCCATGACCCTGATAAGAGAAGAGAGAGAAGTTACACCACCGGATTCCTGGAAAATCTCCCTCTCTGAGCTTGGGTCTTAGACCAAAACAGAGTTGTTATAACTTTGCAGAGTACCCATGGGGGTGAAGGGGTTCAGAACAGGCCTCCCCAGGATGTGCTACTTTGGCATGTGGAATATTTTGAGCTAAAGACAATTGAGACCCTGCAGGCTCAAGAGAAACTTTTACTTCTCCCTTAAAGAATTTAAATTGGGGGTTCTGCCCATAATAAGAGTTATTACCAGAAATAAATTTTTATGAGCTACCTGTATGGCAGGGCAAATGTCTAATTACTGAATATCTGCTTTTCTTATTGTCCTGTGAATTACCCTCCTCCCCTCTGAAGCCTTAGGCCTCTATATTATTCCTTAGCTCAAGATGGTATATATACCTCATTTTACCTTTTTGTCTCTGAACTTCTCATGTATGTGGAGTTCCTGTATGTATGCAATTAAATTTGCTTTTCTTCTATTAATCTGTGTCAATTTTTAATTCTTAGACCAACCAGAAGAACCTAGAAGGTAGAGGAAGATTTCTTCCTCCTCCATAGTTGGCATAGTCAGCAGGATAAACTTCCCTAGCTGGACTCTGCTCCCTCCAAGGCTGCTGCAGCTGAGAGATCCTGGGACATCTCACAAGCACCAGCAGAAAGTAAGAGTTCTTGCCCCATCAGACTCCTGGATCTCTGCCTACTGCAGAGTCTATTGGAAGAGAGAGTAGTAAGAGTCTTTTTTTCTCTTTCCTAAATTTAGATTAGCAGAAGAAAATATTTGTGAAACTAGTTTCTTGAACTTAAGCAACTCTGGGGAATTTGGTAGAGTTTTCTTGGCTTTATTGATCCATTTCCTCCCAGAGATGGTTACTGTTTTTATTCCATTGTGTCATTTGTCATAAAAAGGAAATTCCATAGGCAAAGTTGGCTCACAGCTATTGCCGTATGGAAGGGTTTCCCTGTTTGAGCAAGCTCATGGTATAAGGTTTTTCCTTCCATCTTGTTATATGTCCTGAGAGCTTGGCTTCTTGACCAGTGAGAAAATTCTCTGGGCTCCACCAGTCCAGAAGGTGCATTTACCAGGGTGCATCTGGTGGCCAGTGGAATAGATTAGGGTTCTGAGTCTCTCTGTCTGGCCATGCCCACTATAGGAAAAACTATTTCTGTCCCCAGAAGACTCAGAACTCCTTCCTCTGGTCCTTTGAACACCTGCAGCTGGACTTCATTCAATTGCTGCTTAGGGTGCGTTATCAATATGTTCTTGTTATTGTATGTATGGTTTCTGGAAGGGTTAAAGCCCTCCTTTGCCACAAAGCTATGTCCTCACAGCAAAGAAAATAGTTAGAAAATGTGTTTCCCACTTGGGGGTATACCTTCCACAATCTCCAATGATCAAGGCACCCACTTCACTGGGAAAATCATATGAGCCTTAACGAAAACCTTGCACACTTATTGGAATGATCACTGTTCCTATCACCCTCAATCATCAAACAAAGTAGAGAGAACTAATGGAAAAACTGGATTCAAGCAGAACAAGATAATTACATAGGACTGAATGATAAATATGATTATAATTTTTATGACTTTTTGTCTGAAATATCATTGTTTTTTTAATTCTTTGTTTTCCATATATAAGGAATTTTTTTTCTCCTAAGCTAACTATGACTACAGCAATTGGTAAATTACACCTTTATAAGCAGAATTGAAATACTTACCTTTTTCTCCCTACCTGAGCCCTCCAGAATTCAGAAATTTAGTGAGTATTCTTATTTTCATGGCAATATAGTTATTTGCACAAGTTCAATAAGAATCTGTTCTCCTTATAATGGGACACAATTGGAAACTGGTTATATTACCAAGGCTTTGACTGGAACGTCATATTTAAGAAAGAATGTGCATAGACTCAGATATGATCAGACAGCTTTAAGGAACCAAGATTGACTTTATAGAGCCAATAAAGCCACTTGGAAATATCAGCATGGTACCTTGCTTATAGGGTTCCCAGCAGCCTTACCAGGTGAGTAAGGAAGGTCACTCTCTGGCAAGTGCAGGAACCTCAGGATATCTTAGGAATGTCGAGAAGAGAGAAATTCACCAAAATCTATAGGTATTGCAGTTGAATCTGATGGCAAGACCTTGTCTTGGTTTCCTGGCCTCAAGAAGCCTTTAAAAGTTCAGTGTGGGGGCCAGCCCCGTGGCATAGCAGTTAAGTGTGTGTGCTACGCTGCTGGCGGCCTGGGTTCGGATCCTGGGTGCACACCGAGGCACCGCTTGTCAGGCCATGCTGTGGTGGCATCCCATATAAAGTGGAGGAAGACGGGCACAGATGTTAGCCCAGGGCCAGTCTTCCTCAGCAAAAAAAAAAAAAAAAAAAAATTTCAGTGTGGAGATTCCTTATGAAAGTTTCCAGCAAGGCAGATTCAAAAGAGTCTATATGATCAATTACTATTCTTGCTGCACTTATAAAAATAACAGGCCAAGTTTCTTGAAACTAGACTTATTTTACAAATAAATTAGTTTTATTTTGATTATCTTTGATAGAAATGGGGTGATTTTAGAGAAAAAAATTATGTTTCAATAGAAACTAGAATACAACTTGTAGATATTAGATTCTAGTGCTATTCATTGTCTTTTAAGGTATTGTTTACTACCAGGAAACTGGATCGGATCCTGAATTCTTCTAGTTTGCTCCAATATCTGGCTACAGCCCTCCAAACTAATGTATCCAATTTTCTCCCACATTTTGGCTTAGAATCACTGAAAACTAAAACTGCCCTTTTTTCCCCTGAATCCCTGCAAACTTAAGTTGAACAACTTGATATAAATTTCATAGAAATCACCACAACAGCTTACATATGGACCATCTTTATACCTCTTGCTGTATGGACCACTCAGAAAGATCATAAGAGACATTCAAACTGCAAACTAGGAAAATCTGTCAGGTTGTCACTGCCTGCTCTCACTCCATCTGAAAATACCTCGAGCTGAACATCTAAAAATCTCAACTGACTGCCTGATTCAGAACTCAGAAACTGGGATTATAGTCTGCTCCAATAATTAACCATTGTTTTTCTTTCCTTTCCATAGAAATGCCTCTTATTAAATACCTGATTGCTTGCACCATGGGCCTAACATTAGGAGCCCACCTGTATCACTGCCTCCTGAAACTGGACACAACTGTTTACTTGGACTGACCTATTCTCTAAACTGAGAGACTAGTTCAATGAGAGGGAGCAATCAACCAACTCAATTTCTGGAATGCAAAACTTCTCATGAAATTTCAGTTTTCC